TTTTTCTGTCTCTGTGTTCCCCCCTCCTTCTCTTTCTCTCCCTATAATCCTCGTACAAAAAACCGTAATCCAATGTGAGAAAGAGTAGGCCACCTAATCTAAGACACGATGAAAAAAAAAAAATAATGTAAAGATTCCTTCCTTCTGCGCAAATTCAATGACGTCACCTTTCTTCCTCTTCTTCTCCCGACTTCAAATTCATCACCCATTATCACACACACTAGGAAAAAAAAAAACACACAGGAAAAGAAATACGAAAACAAAAACGAAAATGAAAGAAAAATGAAACCCACACAGCGTCCCATTAAGTCACATGAGGAGAGAAGTAACAGCAGCACAGTCTTCGGAGAGGCGAGGGGTCTCCACGGAGAAGACGGGGGAAGAGAGAGAGAGAGAGAGAGAGGAAAGAGGTAGGTAGGATAGAGGGGGGGGGGTGGAGGGGGGGAGGAGTGGGAGTGGAAGGGGTGGGACTGGAAGGGTAGGCGATGGGAGGAGGAGGAGGGGAGAATTGAGAAGGGAAGGGAAGGGGAGGGGATAGGAGAGCAGAGGAAAGGAAAGGAGAAAGGAAAGGAGGCAAGGGGGAGAGGAGAGGAGAGGAGGGGAGGGGAGTAGACAGGAAAGGGGGGGATAGAAAAGAAAGAGAAAGTGTAAGAGTGACAAAATAAAAGAAAAAGAGAAAAAGAGGTAAAAGAGGAAGCGATTTAAAGCTATAAATACGGCGAGAGGGAGTGGGATGGAGTGAGAGGGGGATAGGAGGGGAGGGAGAGGAGGGAGGGAGGGAGGGAGGGAGGGAGGGAGGGAGGGAGAGGAGGGAGGGAGGGAGGGAGAGGAGGGAGGGGGTGGAGGAAGGAGGGGGGGTGGAGGAAGGAGAGAGGGAGGGAGGGAGAATGAGAGCATGAGTAAGAGAGCATGAGCAAGAGAGAGAGAGAGAGAGAGAGAGAGAGAGAGAGAGAGAGAGAGAGAGAGAGAGAGAGAGAGAGAGAGAGAGAGTGAGAGTGAAAGAGAGAGAGAGAGTGAAAGAGAGAGAGAGAGAGTGAAAGAGAGAGAGAGAGAGTGAAAGAGAGTTAGAGAGAGCAAGAGAGTGAGAGCAAAAGAGAGAGAGAGAGAGAGAGAGAGGAGAGAGAGAGAGAGAGAGAGAGAGAGAGAGAGAGAGAGAGAGAGAGAGAGAGAGAGAGAGAGAGAGCAAGAGAGCAAGAGCAAGAGAGCAAGAGAGAACAAGAGAGAGTGACCAAGAAAAAGAGCAAGCGCGAGAAAGAGAACGACTCGTGACCCTGTGTACAGTATATAGCCCTTTCATCTAATTTAACTCCTGGGCGGTCCCGCTCGACGTCATCACATACCAGCTCGAGCCTCACCACAATGAATCATCACCGCCGCGGCCACTGCTATCATCATCATCATCATCACTTTACTATAATTCTTCGCGTCATTATCGTTACAATTACTGACACTGTTACCTTCGTTTTGATATTCTACTGATATCAGCATCATGATTAGTATTCTTCAAATAATCTTAACTTCATCCTCATCATCATTTACCGCCATCATCACTATCGCTTATTAGCACAATTATAACCATTACCATCATGGCTATTATCGTAAGAGCTGTTGCCGTTTTCCTTGTTCTTTTTTCCTCCTTGTTCTCTATTTTTCCTTGTCCTCCTCCTCCTAGTTCATGTTTTTATTCTTGTTCTTTCCCGACTCCCTCACCCGCCATACAAAGAAAGAAAGGAAGAAAAAACGAGCCTACCACAGAATAAACCTAACAGAGGGAAGGGGCGAGCGTCCACCACCACCACGAGCGTATCGCCGGAACACCGTCCCCACCACATCCTACGCCGCCGAAATGCCATCCTGCGTGATATCCTCCCCATGCAAAGCGAAGCCGAGTCCCAAAATGCTTATCCTACCTTATCCCACCCTAGATACGTTCTACTAACACGTAGGAAATATCATCCTATCGTACATACCCTGGGGATATGCTGCGCAAACTCATGCACAACTGCTCCCTCCCCTCCCCACCCCCACCCCCCCACCGTCACCCACACAGCAAGCAACCTTTTCTCAAATCCTCCCACACCCAGCGCCACCCCCCCCCTACTCCCCCCGCAAGCACCGCCGGGTCTGAGGGTCGTTTCTCGTCCCGGAGGTCGTCGCCGCCGTCGCCACAGCCGCTGCCACAGAGTGTCGCCGTTAACGACCCGCATACACAACCATGTTGGCCATATTGCGTCACCGTGGCCGCCCACTCGCCCCTCACCCCTCCTCCTCTTGTGCCTCCTTCTCCCCCTTCTCCCATATCCTTCTCAGTTTACTGCTCCTCAGTCCGACTCTCGTATAAGTTACTAGCTCTCTCTATCGATAGATAAGCTTGATATACTGAGAGATAGTAGATAAATAGCGAGATATATGTAAATATATAGATAGATATAAATATCATAGATATGATAGATAAAGACCCGAGAGATGATAGTAATGAAGTATAGATATATATAAATAATAGTATATATATATACCAAGTAATATACATATATAGAAATACTAGTATCTTTATAGATGAAAAGATTTATATAAGAGATAAGCTATAGTTAATATATATATATGTATAGATAGAAGTAATATAGTAATATATCAAATAATATAGCATATATCTAAGATAATCTCTATATATGATAAGAATATAGTATCTATAAATGAATCTATATATATATAACACTTATATATCTATCTATTCAACTCATATATATCTCTCATATATCAATCCTATATCTTATCTACTCTAAATACTATATCACAATTCTATATCTAATAATATCTCTCTCTCTTCTCTCTCTTAAATACCTATCTCTCTCTCTAAATAATATCTCTCATCTCAAATCACATCTATATCTATCTAACATTCCTCTCTCTCTCTATCACTAATATTATATATATATAATAATATGAAATATCTCTCTTATAATCATCTATAACTAATATATATATATATATATATATATACAATAATCTATATATATTATAATCATAAAATAATATATTATACTTTATATAAATCAATATATATGTATGTAAATAATATTCATCATATCTATATATATTAAATAAAATATAATATATATATATATAATAATAAGATATAAATATATATATATAAAAATATATAATATATCATATATATAAATAATATCCTAATATATATATACTATAAATATAAAATTAATATATAATATATATATATATAAATAATATATATCATATATAATATATAAATAATATATAATCATATATATATATAAATAATATCATAATATATATATAGTATAAAATAATATAGAATATATTATAAATAAATCATTACTATATATAATATATAACTAATCCTATATATTATACTGTATAACTAATAATATATATATAAAATATCTATAATATATATATATATAAATAAGATATAATAGAGAGATTTATAATATGTAAGATACTCATATATCAGAGTTAGTATAAATCATACTACTATAATATATATAAAATAATAATCAAATATATCTATATATATATATAAATATATATTATATCTTATATATATCAATAATCTATCTATATTCTATAAAGACTCTATCTC